TAGTGGTTCTTACACTACTCTTGTTAATTAAGTATTCATATTTTTAAATTAAAGCGTATAGTTAGTGGAAATTCCTTATTTTTTATTTTTCTAAATTGGGAATTACGTAGAATCATTTGGGGAATCGATTTCTGTAGATTTCATAATTTGGGAAATTGATAAAGCGTTGATAATTAATAAATTAAAAAATTCAATCAATGTTCAGCCCTGCGCAAGCGCGCATGCATACCCGTTCCATTCTTCGTCATCGGGCACACTAATTAATGGAAATCATTAATTATTCTATGAAGTAATTAAGAAATAATTTGGGGAAACGTAGAGAGTACGTTTCATAATTTGGGGAGATTTCGTTAAATAATTATTCATTTTTTAAATTAAAGTGTATAGTTAGTGAAAATTTCATATTTTTTATTTTTCTAAGTTGGGAATTACGTAGAATAATTTGGGGAATTGATCAAGAGTTGATAATTAATCAATTAGATAATTACATCAATTTTCAGCCCTGCGCATGCGCGCGTTGACAAACGTTCCTTCCTTCGTTATCAACACTCATTTAAGAAAAGTTCAATATTATTCATAGAAAACTTGTTAACTAATTTTATAGAGGATACATCAAACTTCGATTACTGAGTTGTCGAAATAGCGATAAATTGGTTTGTGATATATTTTCAATTTTTATCGTTTTTCCTTGTAAAAACATTGTAGAGAAATGAAAAGTAGGGGAAAATTTCATTCAAAGAAAATTCAGACAACGTCATTTCTTGATGAGAACACTAGTCAACTAGAGTGGAAATGATTCTTCGATTTCCCTGTTTTTTCTCGCCAAAAATCCAAAACAATGTGATTTGTCAAATGAAAGAAGCACATTAAGGGTTGAAGGAAAACAATGGAAAATTGAATGAAACATAAATTTTTCGTTTTATTTGTTAATTACTAACTTATATTAAAAATCCAATTTTCGATATAAAATTAAAAAGTAATGGAATGGTAGTATTTCTGTTTCATACGCTTATCATTTTTTCATAATTTGGTGTAATTAATTACAAAAAAATATTCGAACACGTCCAAAATTGCTGGAACGAAATTTGAAATGATGTTTTTTTGTGCATCGGTGAAATTTAATTGGAAAACAACGATCTTCTCATGATAATAACACAGCAAGTAAATAACTGACAAAGAAGTCTGCAGTTCATAGAAATGGGAAAAAATTGAGTGGAAATCAATGGGAATAAGTACATTATTTGATTTTCGATTTTTCAAAAGTTGGCAATAATAAACTGGTTTATTGATTATTGAAATTTTTTCAATTTTTCAAATTAGAAAAACAGTTGGAATCAGTTCCCCAAATGATTCTCCCTTTAAAAAAAAAAGAAGATTTCGCGAATTACATACTTTAAGTGAAAAAAATTAATAGTTAATTAATGATTTCCATTCATTAGTACGCCCGATGACGAGGAATGGAACGGGTATACATGCGCGGACGCGCCGGCCTGGAAATTGATTTAATTATTTCATCTATTAATTATCAATTCATTATCAATTCCCCAAATTATGAAATCTACAGAAATCAATTCCTCAAATGATACTATGTAATTTTCAATTCAGAAAAATAAAAGATAAGAAATTTTCGCTAACTATAAGCTTCAATTAAAAAAAATAAATAATTAATCAACGAGATCTGCCCAAATTATGAAACCCTCTCCCTAAATTTCTTCAAATTATTGCCAAATTATTTGATAGGTTAATTAATGATTCACATTAATTAGTGCGCCAAGTATACGGCGGTCCCGTATAGAGAGAATTTTTTGGCGATTGGCGAATTTACGCTCTTCTACTCCGCGGACAAAACCCGAAGCTTGATCTAGAGCGATGCCTTGTCGGTGACTACGGCTGTTAGAAATCCTGTCAGCTGACAGGCACTCACACATACACACCCACTCACACACGCGCACGCTCACCTCAGATGACCAGTGGCCTTTCACCTCTGACACCTGAGGCGCCACTTGATGAACAGGTGTAATCCATCGCGATGATCGACACCTCCCACCTTGCGGCCTATCACTCTCTCTCATTTGCATCTAGACCGCTCGAGAGTGTTTACGCGCTTTTCTCAGATCTTCGCTTCTCGTTAATTAGACCCGCTCACTATAGTTCTTCTCAGAAGAAGATCAATAGTTCCGTGAATTATAAAAGTGTTCTCATTGCTCAGCTCATTATTGTGACATATAATTGCGAAGTGACTTTTT